AAACTCTAGTGTCACTTCTACTCTGCCCCATGTATATGACCTGGCCGGCCCCCATGAGCATGGGAGGCTGTGTTCCCGTCCCCACCCCATCTCATTTCGGTCCCCACCAGCTCCATTCTGCTCTCCAAGTCCTGTCCGCTCCTCTCTTCTAACGCACGAGGGGAAGCCAGAGAGTGGGCAGCCGTGAGGGCAGGCACTTTGTGTGCCTTGAGCAACAACAACAACAAAGGAAGAGAACAAGAGTCTGCCTTCACCTCCCCAAACTTCACCCCAACCTTGAAAGGCCTCTGACACTAGAAGATCCCGAATGATAAGCCTGCGTTTTAACAGACTCAAGTGACCATGATTCTGCAAGAAGACTAGGCTGACGGCCCACCTTACAACCCTGGTCCTGAGTCAGCCTCTCTGAGTGATGCCATATGATCAGCTGGTCCAGCAAACACAGCCTCCTCCAGGCTGGCCTCGGTTTCCTAGAGCCCATCTTTATCTGCTAGACTCTGATTTCCAACTGTTCAAAATATGATAGGGTTCAGGACACGCTCCCCAAAATACGACACCTTGGCATGATGAATGTTCGAAGCTGGAGGAGGCTGAGAAAACGGCAGAAGCAGAAAGATGCCTCTGTCCTCCTCTCGCGGGCTGGCCCTTCTTCCCTGAAACAGGCCTCAAAACCCTCCTGTGAGAGGCGCCCTCCCTACACTCAGAGGAAGGGAGCATCCTTATCTCTGAAGACAAAGGGATCCCCCCAAACAGGCCTTGTGCAGTCCCCCCAGTTACATTTACCTCGTACTCCTTACCTAGTCACATCCCTCACGACTGTCCACTCCTCATCAAACCCAGCACAAAAGTACACAGGTCTAACTGTTCCTTCACTACCTCACGAAGAAACAGTAAAGCTCCCATGTCATGTCCTACCTACGTTATGGAAATCTGGATGATTTTTTCCTGTTAGTCTGATTTTGTCACTTCTATTTTTAGACCCACTCAGGCACCCTAAGAGGGTCAAGGAAAACTTTTTCCTCCTCTACAAATAGCATCGTTGCTCTAGCCCTGTGCTGTCCTACCTGGCTATTGCACACATCCCATCCTTGCTGGGAAATGTGGCTTATCTGTTAGTGCAAAATACATGCCAATTTCCAAATCAGTATGAAAAAGAATATAAATATTTCATTAGTAATTTTATTATATAGATTACTTGTTAAAATAATATTTTGGATATATTGGGTTAAATAAAATACAGTACTAAAACTAATTTTGACCTGTTCTTTTTACTTTTTTTTTTTTTTTTTTTGAGGATTAACCCTTAGCTAACATCTGCTGCCAATCCTCCTCTTTTTGCTGAGGAAGACTGGCCCTGAGCTAACATCTGTGCCCATCTTCCTCTACTTTTTATATGTGGGATGCCTGCCACAGCACGGCTTACTGAGCGGTGCCAGGTCCGCACCCGGGATCTGAACTGGTGAACCCTGGTCTGCTGAAGCGGAACGTGCGAACTTAACCATGCAAACTTAACCACTGTACCACTGGGCTGGCCCCCACTTCTGAAAAAATTTATATTTTACCTATTTTTATTGTGGCTACTAGAAAATTTAGTTATGGACGTGGCTTGCAGTAGTGGCTTGCGTTTTCTTTCTATTGGACAGCACTAATTCAACAACCCAGCCAGCTGTGGCTTCTACAGAACTGATTCCGTAAGGTCACTGTATTTTCTTTACCTCGAAAAGCAAACAGATTCACTCCTACTCTGGTTCTGGGTTTTGCGGGACTACGAGCTGCCCAAGAGTCCTTGAGGAAGTGTCAGTGCTGTGGGCTCCGCATCGGGGCTGGAGCTGACTTCAGGCTCTCTTCCAGCTCCCGCATCTCGCTCACCCTGTGCCATGAAGCCATCACCAGACTCCAACACAAAGCCCTCCTCCAACCCTTGCACAGTCACAATGTGTCCACATCACTCAAAACTCCACACAGATCATATTCCCTTGAAACAGTGGAACAAGTGTTGCTACAAACTGCCAGGCTGTTACCACCTGTGCAACTGGTCAGAGGGGACCACAGAAAGGGAACAGCCTGGGCTGCAGTCTCAGACACCCCTTCCCTCTCTCACCCCAGCTCAGGCCTCGCTGGTTTCTTCTTCCCAGAGACTGGAGCCCCTCCTTCTTGTGGAGCTAGGCTCAGAGACAGACTGAGCTCTTTAGCAGTTTACAGCACAGCGGTGGGGAGCCAATGCTGATGCTGGGAACTTCAGAACAGAAGACAGGTGCCAGGCCCTCCAATTCTGGAGAAAACTGCTGGACACTGAAGATACCGGGGCAAAATTTGAACCTCAGAATCCTGCCCTTTTTTTTTTTTAAACAAATGCTTTATCCCTGTGAAGACTCAACATTGGCTGTGACAGGCGTGGAGGGGGAGCGGGGTTCACATCTCCCTTCTACCACTCAGCAGCCATAGGACCCCGGAGAAGGCTGCTGCATTCGTCTAGGTCTCAGTGTCCTCATCTGGAACAATGGGGACAGTTCCACCTACCTCACAGAGCTGAAGAATTAAACCAGGGATGAAAAAGTGCCTTGCACATGGTAAGTGTTCAATAGACATTAGCTTCCATCCCTTCAATTTTCCCACAGCAATTAGGCAAAGCAGATACTAAAAACCTTGTGGAGAACTGAAAAGAAATCCTCTATACTCTGCTCTGTTTTTTGCAGGTTTTTTTCTCATTTTGTTTGTTTGTTTGTTTTGAATCTGAATCTTGGTGCCTGGTAGAATTGAAAAACCCAGTACAGGAACTCTGCCACAGCAAGGACGATCTTTGCAGCCCTCACATAGCATCTGGCCAAAGGCAAGCGCCAGGTAAATGCTTGTTGAATGAATGAATGGAATAGTGGTGTATGCAATGCAAGCAGGGGCTGGTGCACGTGTGGAACACATAAGCAGCCCTAGAACGAGAGGTCAGAGTTAGCAGGGTGCAGGGGTTCTGCTGATCAGTGTGAAGCTGGCAGGCCACGAAGAATTACTCTGCGGAATGACATTTGAAATCTTTGTGGAGCCTTTATTCTCAGCAGCAAAGCTCAAGGTGCTCTGTTAATATTTTTCCTCCACTCAGCCGTGCTTTACTCAGAAAGGTTAGCACACATGCTGAGAAGTGAACCTAGTTATCTCTAGGAGAGGAAGCATAAACAATTCAGTTTTTCCTAATTTTTTTTTAACTTAGCACAACTGGTTAAACCCTAAAGATCAAACTTAAATAGATGGCTCTGTTATACACATACATGCCTTCAGAGTGTTTTCACAGGTAAAATTCTGAGCATTTCCCTACCGGGGTGGGGGCTGGGGGTGGGGACTGCATACTATTCTTTTTAAATTTTAAAGATGGATCTGGTGTTCAATTCCCTCACAGGTGTGTAAGGAGGGCTCTGAATACTACTGGTGTATGCTTTGTGGTTAACAGAAAAAGGGTTGCCTTCTCTGATCTCAGCAGGCCTCCTGAGGACTTCTCCCCGTTAGCTCTCCTGCCTCCCCACACAGCAGGTCTGGGACTGCAGTGGCCTTGTCTGAATCCTGTTCTGCTCATCAGAGGATTCAACACTCAGGAAGCCTGAAGGGTCCTGCCCTTCGCCCCCAGGTTTACCCTCCTAGAAAGGAAAACTCCAGTAGTGTCAAACCCACCAGCAGAGCTGCACAGGGGATGTTAAAATCCACAGTCACATCCCCTTAGAGGGTAGGGAGTTGGCAGATGTCCCTCTCAACCCCTGTTTGTTCATTACCCTGAACCAAAGAACCATCTTGTTTCACCCTCAGACCTCAAATCAATTCAATCTTCAGAACATTCAAAGCTACAGGTGAAAGAAAACTGACTACAGGATTTATGTTGCCTGTTTGTGTGCTAAAGAAGCCCCCTCTGTCGGCTTTCAGGGACTGCTTACACTATTACCCCAGAGGCAGGACCTCCCCACTCAGGGAAATGTAGCTCAAGTTACCGGCCTGGTGCTGAAGAGAACAGAATGGAAATTTGCCTTTAGAGAAGATTTGGAAATTTCTGACCCAAATGAGAAATTTAAAGAAAAGGTTAAATTTTCTAAATGCAATGAACAGGTAAGAGAAAACAGGCCTATAAGAAATAAGGGTCACTGGTCCATTTGCCAAACACGTGGCCACAACTACATGTGCTTGGGAAGAAGTGGGACCAGAGGCAGTGGTCCAGGTAAAGGAGTCGTCCATAAAGAGTTGCGCCAAATTATTGGAAAAGGCAATTACATTCAACACACGCCCAACTTTCTGGGTCATAACCACATGGAGATGCAAAGAATTTGAGATTCTCCTTCCAAAATGGAAAGAGAAGGGATTAAGATAGGAGCTTTCCAGGACTTTCCAAGGTTTTTAGGCCTTGGAAATTCAGAGCCCGGTTTCTACTCCATCCTGCTGGACTTGGCTCTAAACCCCAGGGAAGGAGTTTGGCACAAAGCTTTGTTCCCACTGTCCTGGCTTCAGCTGTGAAAAGAAAGAGGTAAGAACAGTGCCCAGCACCACCAGGGCACTGCTCCGCGACTCTCTGCAGGACGGGAGATGCTGACTCTAGGAAAGCTGGCTGCTCAGGCTAAAAACACCTCCCAAATTCTGATGAGACCAGAAGAGTCTGACCCCCAAGGGCTGCTTCCTGAGAAAGAACAGCTTTCCTAAGTCACAGGTCGAAGCTGATGGACTGACAGGTTCAGTAATGAGATCACATAAACAGCACATGCTCCAGAAGCATGTTTTCTGCTGGGGGAGGAGAAATTGTGGGTGAAAGAAAAGGTCCCCTCCTTTTGTTACCAGGAACCTCTCATACACAGTCACCCAGTCATCACCACTCACTCACACTGTCAGTCACACCCAGCCAGTCACCCAGAGTCAGAAACACTGCTGAAGTCAGAAAACTGCAGGCTCCCACACAATTAGGTACAACCTAAGCCACTCAGTCTCACAATGACATGACGCCCATTGCTCTGAACATCCGCAGATCCTATACCCACCTGATTGCCAAAGACAGCTATGGAGCAGGCTGTTGAAACCTCATTAGCCCCGAACCAGACGGAAGCGATGCGGGAGGGCATGCCCAGGATGAAGACCTGGGCCACAGAGCAGATGACCTGGCCCAGCACGGTGACTGGGAAGAGATGGGGCTTCAGGCTGCCCAATTTCACCCAGGCACCGAGGCAGTTCAGAACCGAGCCGGTGAGGGCGATGGTGCGGAGGCCGAACTTCTCCAGCAGCCAGGCCACTGGCAGGAGAAGAGGGATGTAGGTCAGCATGTAACACATGGACAGCCAGTCGATGGCAAAGGCACTGACCCCGTAGAAGTTCATGAAGATGTTATTGATGGAGCCGTACTGGATCCACTGGAAAGCGTTGCACATGGAGTAGCAGCTGAACACCAGGACCACGGCCCACCGGCGCTTGCTCACCTTGATCACGCTAAGGTCCTCGGGGCAGGAGCTACTGGGATGGGCCAAGACACCTGGTTGGGCTGAGGTACTGGGGTGGGCCGAACTGCTGGGGTACGCAGAGACGCTGGGGTGGATCGAGACGCTGGGGTGGATCGAGACGCTGGGGTCGGACCGGACTGCGGACTCCTGCGCAGGGGTGCCATCGCTCTCCTGTTGGTTGGGATCTTCATTCACCATGACCACAGCCTCTCCTGGAACCCTCGACAGGTGCCGAGGACACCGGCGGTCTTAAGGGACGATGGCCTCGGCTGGTCCCCTAGAGCTGACGAGGCATTTGCCCCGGTCCGTCCACGAATAGACCGAGACCCCAGCCTGCGGAAAAGCCGCGAGCGGGCCTCCCTGCGCTCACCCCCGAGATCCTACTCCCACGTTTCCTTGGCGTCCTCTGTCGCCGACCGCTGTCCCCAAGCCAAGGCAGACGCCTCAGCCTGGTCCTGGCCGTCGGTTCCTGGAGTCGTCCCAGGGCGTCTGGCCGCTTTGAGCCCCTCCGTCCTGGCAGAAGTTCGCTCCTTGCGCAGCCACTTCGCTGGATTCTGTTCGCTGCCGGGCCAGCTAGGGGCCTCGCCCCCTCGGGCGCACGTGACCGCCCCGCCCGGTCCAGCCCGGCGTCCCCCCGCCCCCCCTCCACTCCTGCCCGCCTTCTCCAGCCGGGCTGACCGGGCAGCGCAGTTGTTTCGCCACAACTTGCGGTGCATTCCTCTTACACGCCCCGGGCGCCATGGAAACCGCTGGTTAACCTCCCTCCCACGCACGGCCCCTCAAATTCATTTTCCCCCTCCCGGGGACCCCGCAAATAAGTCTCTCCGCCCTTCCTAGGTGACTGTCCAAAGGAGGCTCCTCCGTGCCGGTCCCCATCCCTGCGCGCGCGCACCGATGCCCGGCGCTCCCAAAGCGCTCGGGAATTCAAGAGGGCTTCCCGACTTTTCCCCGCTAGGCTGGCTCCCAGACTCTCAATGAACTTTTGGCAGAAAGAGAGATTTGTGGATGTCCCGGTCTGGTTGCGCTCCTGGGGTAAAACGGAGTCGCAGAAAGTCGCTGTGCTCCTTGCTTCCCTGCGGACATGGTCTATCTTGGGGAACTCGGGCTGGAACCTGTGAGGGAGGGCTGTTCTTTCCTGATGGACGCCCGGGCGGCCTCCCAGGCAGGGCCCTGAGGGCGGAGGGTGCAGGGGAGCTCGCAGACGTTTAGGATCTAGCGGGGGTGGGTTTGTGGTGACAGGCCCAGCACAGCGCTGCCTCTGGGCGGGGTCTGTAAGTTGTCTTTGCACCCATGTACCCTAGGCTGCCGCCTGCTGGTCTCAGCCCTTTCCAGAGGGTAAGCCCTCAAGTCCTCGCCTCCAGAAAGGCAGGCCTGCAGGGCGGAAGTGCCTGTTTCCACTGATCCCTTTCAGCCCTGGGGAGGGATAAGAGCCCAGCTTCTCCCTGGGTGCAAACACCGGCTTAGGTACTCCTAGGTGTGTGCAGTAATTTAAGGTACTCCACCTCTCTGTGCCTCATGTCTTCATATGTAAAATAAGGACGGTAAAATAGCACGACGCACCTCAGAGTGTTGTTGTGAGGTTTGAACAGTTAAGGCATGAAAGCACTTTGAAAATTCTGGCAGGTTTCTAAGCATTCCGTGAGTGTTGACTACCCTAGGATTAAAAAGCTAATGATTATTATATTGTGCTAAACATGACCACCGCGTGATCTCAGTTAAGGATCACAAGAATCCTGGGATGTAGTTAGTATTGCTTACCTGCATCTTACAGAAAAAAAGACAGCTCGGAGAAGGAAAGTAACTTCATACTTAAGGTGTCAGCTTGCCTGAAGAGCCATCATTCTCACGCGAGTTTGTGTTCATTCAAGCTACAGCCCAGCTGCTCAAGTGGGGTCTGGGGACAGCAGTGTGGGCATGCTCTGGAAGCTTCTTCCAAGGGCAGCAGCCCAGCCCCACCCTGGACCTACTGAATTACAGGCTGCATTTTAGAGATCTCCAGGTGATTCGTCTGTTTGCACATTAAAGTTTGAGAGCCTCTGGGTGCCACTGCCTCCCCATGGTTTTCTTTTTTAACCTTCAGACCAAAATGAAGAATTTAAAGCTCTGGGCAGTGGCATTAACTTGGGTTGAGCATTAAAATCACATCCTGAGCTCTTAACATTCCCAATGCCTCAGCCACAGCACAAATCAGGGTCTCTGAGACTGGACCCCGGCACATGCATGTTTAAAGGTCCCCAGGGGACCTCAACATGCAGCCACCTGTGGGCACCTCTGGTGGAATTAGAACCACTGGTTCCCAGGAGAGGGAAGGCTGCTTGGAGGCACCCACTTTTCAGTGGAAATTTGAGGTCTTGGATCATAGTGGGATGTTTGAAGAGGGGACTCAGACCCACCTAAGAATTTCCACACTAGGTCAACATCCCGTCTTCCTGAAATTCCAACGGTGTTTCCCAGCCTTCTCCAGGGAGCACAGAACCTAGGTTCTCCTGGAACCTTCTGAGACCTTCACTGTTTCTCTTCCCTAGGTCATCAGGGTCCTCTCCCAAAAGCTGCAGAATATATTCTTCACTTCATTTTACTGAAATGGAAACTGAGGCCCACAGAATCACACTGTGTTATCAGGGTCACACAGCTAATTAGCATGAGAACAAGCAACAGCAAGACAGGTTACTCAGTTCGCTCCCATGCAGCCTCTCCCACATGCTCCTCTGGGGCAATGCTTCCATTTGGCGACAAGTCCCAAGGGGTCTAACCCGGGATTCAGCAGTATTTGGGGTCGCCTTTTATGTTGGAGCCTGTGGGATCTATTGTGAGCTCTGGATTCAGTCTACTCAAGATGTGAAGCTTGGGGCTGGCCCCATGGCTGAGTGGTTAAGTTCGCACACCCCTTTTGGCGGCCCAGGGTTTCGTGGGTTGGATCCTGGAGGCGGACATTACACCGCTCATCAAGTCACACTGAGGTGGGGTCCCACATGCCACAACCAGAGGTACCCACAACTAGATATACAACCATGTACTGGAGGGCTTTAGGGAGAAGAAGTTAAAAAAAAAAGAAGACGAAGATTGGAACAGATGTTAGCTCATATGCCCATCTTTAAAAAAAAAAAAAAATATGAGTCGTTGAAAAAAAAAAGATCTGAAGCTCTGTTCTGCCATTGTCAGCTTTGGGATCTTGGGTAAGTTAATTAACCTCTCTCTCCTTCAGTCTCTGAAACTGCAAAATGAGCATTGAAAATACCTGCCTCATAGGGTTGTTGTGAGAATTAAACAGGATAATGTGTCAATTGTTTTCAATAAGAATATTCTGGCAGCCACAAGGGTGGTGCCGTCTCTTGGCTGATTCCCACCGGGGGGAGGACAGCTATATAGATATTGGGCAGACAGCACATGGAGAGAAGTATTCTGTATTCATCCTTTGAAAAACATTTATTGAGCAGCTTATTATGTAGTCCATCTATTTAGCTGTATGTCCTATCTATAGGTATCTAGAGATGCACCTTGAAGGGGAAGGAGAAGTACGTTTTAGGGATTGCTTCCGGAAAAGGGGCCCTGGTTCTTGGTTCTGTGGCAACTGCCTGTATAAGGAGCTGGAGGGAGCCTCTGGCATTGAATTCAGCCTGTCCTGGGGCTCTGCAGAATGGTGGCAACGTTCGCCCCCTAGAGGCCAACAACAGCTCCAGCAGGGAGAGCACAACTTGGAAGGCAACACATCACAGGAGTATTGACAGCTTTCCACCCAGTCGACAGAGGCTGGAGGTGTGGGAGGCTGGAAGTTGGCTGAGTGCTGGGAAGGCTAAATTGCTAACGAAATGCATCAGGTTGAGACCCTGGATTCGTCCCTCTTAAGAAATACCAAAACTTGCAATTTGTAAAAATGTTGCCCTTACAAATCTTACATGTGTATTTCTATGCGTAATACTGAACACTCACCAATATCCTGTTTGCCTTATCCCCACACTCCCCATGTATTTCTAGCTCCTGATGACTTGTGTGTATCTCTGTATTCAGCGGAGCATTTAGAGAGAGAAGCTACACAGCGCATGCTCTCAACACCTTTTGGGAGAATTGAGTTGAATTACACATTGCCATGAAATTTCAGAAAACTGAGACAAAGAGGAGATCCAATAGGTTTTCAAAGATAAAAACAGGTTTCATGAAATGTTTTCCAAAACAACAGGAACAGAATGTCTTCAGAGTTATCATCGAACCTGGAAACTGGAAGTCAGTGGAAAATGCTTTCTGAAGGAAAACCATTTCCTGCCTAGAATTCTATACCTAAACTACCAAAGAAAAAAGGATGAGAAGAGAATCAAATATTTTCACACATCACATGCAAAGTTTCAAAAAAGGTACTGCCTTAGCCTCTCTTCTAGAAAGCTGCTAAAGGATGTACTCCACCAAAACAAGGGAGGAAATGAGAGGCAGGCGATGAGAATCACCAAGATCATGGGAAGATCCCAGGAGGACAGCCATGGGCTCGGCATAGAAAGCAGTCCATTCAGATTAAAGCTGCTCAAAAGGCTCCAGGGAAGATGTGATGAAGATGATGACACTGATAGAATTGTGTTTGAAAGTACAGCGAGGGAGTCTACATAAATGGGGGAGAATTAGGGGTTGGACCAGTGATAAGTAACACGAAGTATAACTAAATAAATGGGGGCAAGGGGACAAGACTATTAACTCCTGTGGAATGTAAAAGGCATGAAGGAGAGGGGAAAAATCATGATGACCTCGAGTGACTCAGTTGTGAGTAGCATGAACCCAGTCATAATAATGTGAACGCTGAAAGTTGATATAACCAAATATGATAGAAGAATTTCGGGAGGATGGGGGAGTGGGAAGTGGGCACATGTATGTGGTGGAGATGAGGGTGGGGTTAACAGAGCTAAATCTTTGTCTGCCATATTGGAAAGTCAGGAGCTTATTCCTGACAGGGACATAATCAGGAAGGTTCCATATATCCATCTTGTGTAGAGCTATGGAGGTAAATAGAAGAGAATCATCTAATAAGAACTGAAAGCAATTGTCTCAAGGGAGTGGGAATGAGGAAAGAAACTGACATTTTGATACATGTCTCCTTGATTCTTTAAACTATATATAACCTTGGTTATCAAAAAAACTTCAAAAATTTAAAAATAGAAACAAAAGGAATGGCGGTGGACTTGCGTCACCGAGGCCCACAGGTGACGCCTAGGGGTGTGTTCAGTTCCATCATGGAGTTCATGATGTTGGTGCTACAAATGGGCACCCAAGTCTCCAGCGCTGGGACCTCAGGGATGCTGTGTCCTCCAAAGCTGTGCCAGGCTGTCACCTTGGGGAACCGGGTGTGTGGTCAGAGGCCCTATTACCCACATGCGGGTCTTGCTTGTCCTTCTCTGAACTTCTTTCTGCTTCTAGTGACCTTCTCTCTTGGAGATTCTGTGGAGGTCTTATCCCTTCTACTGAGGCCTCACCTCTGTGCCATCATCCAAAGACCACAACAAGGTCTCCTCTTCTGGAATCCTCTCTGTCAGGGAATGGCACTGCCAGCTCCGGGTCAGCCAAACCCAAACGCCAAGAACTCCCCAGAACCTCCCTTTCCTCCTTCTCAGTGTCCCCTGGGCGTTGATCTCCTCACCATCTTCCCTCCTCTCCCAC